TGCACTGACTAGTTTCCACTAAAAATGAAAAATTCAAAATGTAATGGCATTTTTCTCCTGTAATTTTTCATTTTCACAGAAACCTTTTAATTAATACAGCCACCATCGGAACAGCTCCCAACTAATAGTACACAAAGTTGAAACATCAGAGGTCTGTTTTGACCCCTGATATTCCACCAAAGCCCCCCAATGGGGCTCCTAAAAAAATTTTTTTTTAAATTATAAAAAAATAAAATTGTAAAACAAATTAAAATAAAATGGTAAAAAAAAAAAAAAAAAATAAAATAACAAAAATAAAAACTACTGACACCAGTGGCAGAACTATCAGTCACAAAGGTCACACTTGCAACTGGACCCTGGCATTCCGCCACTGTGGAGGGGACCCAAGACGGCAGGAAGGGGGCCCATTGCAGACCATGTGAAAGGGTCCCACTGCAGGACCGTAATAAAAGGCCCCGCAATGGGAGTAAAGGGCCCTGGGATTAGTGGGAAGAGCCCTGGGCCTGGAGAGAAGGGACCTGGCCCCTGGCCAGGGGTCAGAGGGCCCTTCATGTTTTTTTGCACCGGAACCCTGAAGGTTCTAGTTATACCTCTGACCTTTTATACACACGCTGGTAGATTAATTGGCTCCTGACCAAACTAGCCCCGGTGTGTTTACATATGTATATAGGATAGGAACCTTTAGATTGTAAATAACATGAAGGAGGGGAATGATGTTGGAGCTATATAAATAACTGTAATAAATAAATCTTGTGTTTGCTCTTAGGCAGCACTTGTACAGTTGCAAGAAAAAGTATGTGAACCCCTTGGGATTACGTGGAGTTTTGCATGAATTGGGCATAAAATGTGCTCTGAACGTCATCTAAGTCACAACAATAGAAGAACACAGTCTGCTGAACATAATACTACACTAACATTAGATGTTGCCATGGTTTAATTGCACATAACATGTAAACATTCACATTGCAGGGGGGAAAAAGTATGTGAACCTTTGGACTTAATAACTGGTTGACCCTCCTTTGGCAGCAATAACCTCAACCAAACGTTTCCTGTAGTTGCAGATCAGACCTGCACAACGATCTGGAGTAATTTTGGACCACTCCTCTTCACAAAACTGTTTCAGTGTAGCAATATTCTTGGGATGTCTGGTGTGAATCGCTCTCTTAAGGTCATGCCACAGCATTTCAATCGGGTTGAGGTCAGGACTCTGACTGGGCCACTCCAGAAGGCGTATTCTGTGCTGTTGCAGCCATTGTTTTGTTGAATTACTTGTATGCTTTGGGTCATTGTCCTGTTGCATCACCCATCCTCTGCGGAGCTTCAGTTGGCGGACAGATGGTCGTACGTTTTCCTGAAAAATGTCTTGATAAACTCTGGAATTCATTTTCCCATCAATGACAACAATCCGTCCAGGCCCTGAGGCAGCAAAGCAGCCCCAAACCATGATGCTCCCTCCACCATGTTTTACAGGGGGATGAGGTTTTGATGTTGGTGTGCTGTGCCTTTTTTTCTCCACACATAGTGTTGTGTGTTCTTCCCAAACAACTCAATCTTGGTTTCATCTGTCCACAGTATATTTTGCCAGTAGTGCTGTGGAGCATCCAGGTGCTCTTTTGCAAACTTCAAACGTGCTGCAATATTCTTTTTGGGCAGCAATGGCTTCCTCCGTGGTGTCCTCCCATGTAATCCATTCTTGTTTAACCTCCCTAACGGTATTCCCGACTGTAGCTCGGGGTAAAATGTCTGTACCAAAAGCGGTAACCCCAAGCTACACTCGGGCTTACCATGCGGCGCTGCATAGGGAGTCCCTGCAGCACTTACCTTGACCTTCGCTCCCACGATGTGTCCCCTGCAGCGTCCCCGGCCATCTCCTCCGGCAGATGCCAGCATCCGCCTCCTGTGTTCCGGTCCCTGTGACGTCGGGACGTACGGGCGCCGCCGCCGGCGGCGGGAAATTTGAAAATTTAAAAAAAATGTAATTTTTTTCAAAACGATTTTACATAGTAAAACATTGCTGTTTCAACCCATTTCACATACATTTTGTCCCTAGTGCTTTGTCCTGTGACCTGTCTGCATTTTGATTGTTCTTTTCTGCCTGGAAACTTAGAAAAGTCCATGGCGTCCAAAAAGTGTCCCTTTAGGTCAAAAGCGGGTTTAGACCAGCTAGAGAACAGCGATAGTAAATCAGAACCACTTGCAGAATTGAGTGATAATGATTCGTGGAGAAATTCGTCATCAGATACTGAAAACAATTTTGCGACTTTGCTCAGCAATGTACGAACTTGGCGCTATATTTCAAATTGCAGTGTTTTTGGTTTGATTATATTATTGAATTAAATGTATGATTTAGACTCTTGTTCAGACAGATTTCAGTGAGTTATTCCTAAAAATTACAGCCTACAATAAAAAAACTACATATTTCCATGCAAAATAATGGTACCGCTTTCAGCACCAAAAATATGAAATAATCATACCGCTAGGGAGGTTAATGTTTTCCTTATTGAAGATGTGTCAACAAAAATGTTAGCATGTGCCAGAGATTTCTGTAGGTCTTTAGCTGACACTCTGGGATTCTTCTTTACCTCATGCAGCATTCTGCGCTGTGCTCTTGCAGTCATTTTTACAGGACGACCGCGCCTAGGGAGAGTAGCAACAGTGCTAAACTTTCTCCATTTGTAGACAGTCTGTCTTACCGTGGACACATGAACATCAAGGCTTTTGGAGATACTTTTGTAACCCTTTCCAGCTTCAGGCAAGTCAACAATTCTTGATCGTAGGTCTTCTGAGAGCTCTTTTCTGCGAGGCATGGTTCACATCAGACAGTGCTTCTTGAAACCAGTAAACCCAAAACAGGTGTGTGTTTTTTAAGGGCAGGACAGCTGTCAGCAACACATCCAATATCATCACACTGATTGGAGTCAAGGTTGGCTCACTCCTGGCTCCAATTAGCTCTGGGAGAAGTCATTAAGCTAGGGCCTCACATACTTTTTCCTCCCTGCACTGTGAATGTTTACATGTTATGTGCAATTAAACCATGGCAACATCTAATGTTTGTGTAGTATTATGTTCAGCAGACTGTGTTCTTCTATTTGTGACTTAGATGACAATCAGAGCACATTTTATGCCCAATTCATGCAAAACTCCACGTAATCCCAAGGGGTTCACATACTTTTTCTTGCAACTGTATGTCAAAGCTTTAAAATAGAGTTATCTTTAGTTTGAAATTATATTGGATTTCTTCTACTCTCCTTGTATTCTGACTAGAGCTCTCCTCTGTCTCTACAGGTCTCCTATGGTTATGCATTCCTGTTTGTGAATTAGCAGATGACACCATAACCATACCATGCTCTTACACATATTATCAATACCCACATTCTGTATGCTGGGGCAGGGGGTCCTGTCCATTGTCCTACTGTAACAATGTGATCCTCCAGACTAGTGACAACAAAGTAGCCTGGAAGAAAACAGATAGATACCAGCTGATGGGTGATGTAGGGAATGGAGACGTGTCACTGACCATCACTGGTGTGACCATGGAGGACGCCGGAAGGTACTGCTGTCGTGTGGAGATTCCAGGATGGTTTAATGACCTGAAGAATAACATAGATGTGGAAATACAAGAGGGTGAGCCCTGACTTCATGTTTATTTATTTCAGGTACTTATTTCAGGTACTTAAAATGTTTAAAAGAGAAACTAAAATAGTTTATTTACTGACTTTCAAAGCTGAAAGGCAGGGCAGTACCTTCACAATCTCTACCTAGTTCAATCAGAAAACACTTTTCATGAATTGAGAAAAGTGTGCAAGGTATTCTTTGAATGGCTCCAGTGCAGAGCAAGTGACCCCCTTTGTCTCTGATGAGACAGGATAGCCTTTTGGCACCGGGGCCTGAAAGAAAACAGCGATCACTGTAGTAGTGGAAGTGATTCTCCACATCCATAGTGGTCCCACAGGAATGGCATATGAATACCGACATTTATCCAAGCTGGACCAATGTAACTATACAAAAAAATCCATACCTGAAATTCAGGTTTAAAGGTGAAGTTCACTTTTGTGAAAAAAAGCTTGCAGAGCTTTGCAACCACAATCAGTGGTTTACAGGGGCAGTGTTAGGCTCCTCCAGACAAGTCGTACAGCTTTCTGCCCATACTTTTGTATGGGCTGTTGGTTTGAAAGCTACAGGGCTTGTGAATGAATTACTATGGGCACCCTTGCAATTAACTGAGAACTACAAGCTGTCTATTGCAGTGGAAGATGGGACTTGTAGTTATCTCATTCACAAATCCCTGTGAATTAATGACGCAGCTGTGCAAGCGAAGCCCTGTACAAATGCATTCAATTCAAAATGTGACAGCGGGTGCAGGGAGAGTTGTTGAATGAAAGTTGTGTGATTTTGTGTGAAACCATTTATAAATAGACCCCCTTGAAATGTAAAAAGTGCATAGATGTGCCTGGGCACACCTAGTCATCTTGTTCGCACTGTCCCACTGAGCAGTTTTTCCTATAAAAGGGGTGTGGAAGCACTTCTCTCTCACTCTGAATCTGCAGGCAGGGAGATAATCTGCCGGCGGGGCATAATGCTGCAAGGAAGATTGTATGTGTGTATATATATATATATATACACACACACACACACACACACACACTATATTACCGTGATAGGTTGCCACTTGTGCAATAGGTCCATCCGTGAAATTTCCTTGCTAGTAAATATTCCACGGTCAACGGTTAGTGGTATTATAACAAAGTGGAAGCAACCAGGAACAACAGGCCATGTAAAGTGACAGAGTGGGGTTGGTGCATATTTAAGTGCACAGTGCGCACAAGTCACCTACTGTCTGCAGAGTCAATAGCTAGACACCTTCAAACTTCTTGTGTCCTTCAGATTAGCACAGCAACAGTGCGTAGAGCTTCATGGAATGGGTTTCCATGGCCGAGCAGCTGCATCCAAGCCTTACATCTCCAAGTGCATGGCAAAAAGTCAGAAGCAGTGGTGTAAAGCACGCCACCACTGAACTCTAGAGCAGTGGAGATGTGTTCTCTGGAGTGACGAATCATGTTTCTGTCTGGGAATCCGATGGATGTATCTTGGTTTGGCAGCTGCAAGAACAGTACTTGCCTGTCTGCATTGTGCCGAGTGTAAAGTTTGGTGGAGGGGGGATTATGGTGGGGGGTTGTTTTTCAGGGGTTGGGCTTGGCCCCTTAGTTCCAGCGAAGGGAACTCTTAAGGCATCAGCACCTGCGAGCCAGGCCTTCTTGTCCGACATCAGTGCCTGAGCTTACAAATGCGTTTCTGGAAGAATGGTCAAACATTCCCATAGACACACTCCTATACCTTGTGGACAGCCTTCCCAGAAGAGTTGAAGCTGTTATAGCTGCAAAGGGTGGACCAACTCAATATTGAACCCTACAGACTAAGACTGGGATGTCATTAAAGTTCATGTGTGTGTAAAGGCAGGCGTCCCAATACTTTTGCCAATATAGTGTATACACTATACAAAAGAACATATAAAAGGGATGGTCCATAATTTAACTGTACTGTATTGGGATTAGCTGCAGCAGCAACAACATTGTTTTAATATGTGAATAGGTTCCACAAGTAGAAGTACTGTTTTAGAATTTAACAAAATACGTTCCTAGGTATTCACAACAACTTAGTCAACTTGTACCACCATTCTAATGTAGCAGTGGTAAGGGGCTTGGTGCATTTTGTTAAAAAAACAACTTGTTGTAAATACCCAAAGTTTCACAAGCTCAAATCAGCCATATGTTGTCTGACTCAGATACAGGTATTCCAATTTTTAGAGTCTAATTTAAGATTGTCAGCTTCGGTCCCTGATAAGTTGTCTACAAACCAGAACTTAGGCCCAGGCCCATTACTCTCGGCATCTCCTCTATGGCTAACGTATTAAACATTGCATAGAGCACATGTAAATCAACATTTGTCACTGCTTCCACCTCCCAAATGAATTTACACTTGGCATAAACATACAAGTAAACAAGTACTTATTCTATGGTTCAGTCGGTTTGATACCACTGACCCCAATGGTGTGTTTTTGGGCTGTTTGCAGAAATTCCAAGAACATAGAGGTTACCGAGCCAAACAGAGAAGAAACATTACAAAAATGAAAGGATTAGGATATAAAAAAAATTAGGAGCATGTCAAACACATTTTCACAAAATGTTCTTGGTTTATTATTGTTTTTATTCACACACTGATCATTTCAGACTTGTTGTTGAAATAGATGAACCAAAGATATCTCAAGTCTACCATCCAGAAGGTCAACCGCAGAATGCCCTTTCAAAGATCGTACACAAGATAAAGGTATTTATTCGCTTCTGCATGGAACACCTAAAAATGTTATATGTTCAGTTGAATGTTTTTGTTGTTCTTGGAGAGATGAAACAAGCTAACAGACAATATAAAGTGGAAGAGGAAGGGGCAGCACTAACAGTCAATGAAGTTCTGCTACATTCACATGAGCTGACAGGTGGAGGGAGAAGAGTGAGCAGAGGGATGACCTAATCTTGTGCTTCAAGGTCCAGTCCACATGTTAGGACTGTGTTGTTAAAGCGGAGTTCCACTCACCCTGTCAAAAAATAAAAGTCAGGAGCTACAAAAACTGTAGCTGCTGACTTTTTAAAAAACAGCTACTTACCTGTCCCTCGGTCCCATGGTGTGTCCCCCGCCGTCCGTCCTGTATTCCAGGAGGCCAGCATCTTCAGTGTGAGCACCCGGTTGTGACTGCTTGTGGCTTCACAGCTGGGTACCCACTGCGCATGCGCGAGTAGCGCTGCGCTTTGTGAATGGTCCTGTCGTCTTCTGGGACCTGTCACATGTCCCAAAAGACTACAGGGAGGGAGGGCACCTTCCGTTTCTGATTGCCTAGGCAATCAGACCAGAAGTGGGAGCGGGTACCTGTCAAATTCAGGTACCCGCTCTCCCCAAAAGGTGCCAATCCTTAATGAGGAGTGGGGAGCAGTCCTTAAAGCAGAACATCCCCTTTTGGGTGGAGCTCCGCTTTAAGGTGCATTGCTGCTGCAGTGGAAAGTGAGGACCTGATCCTGCTGCTTGGTCGGATCACAAGTCTTTCTGCACAAAATTACAAATCCTCTGGCAGGTAATACAGTTACCACACATGCATCTGAACCATGTATTTATCAATTTGCCCAGAGTTCAGATAAGTACCAGTTACACTTACCGGTAACAGTGTTTCTGGGAAATCTTCCAGGACAGCACACCTGAGAGATGAAAGATGGTAGGACAATTTCCTGCATCCTATGAGACCTTGAGGCCACTATGGGCAAATGCAGAGGGTCCTGTCTAAGTACAACCCTGTCCTCTAACACCACCAGGAAGGGTTCCTTGATTGACTAGCTATGTAGGTCACTTATCCTTCTTGCCTTTGTAATGGCTAACAGGAAGGCTAACTTAAAGGATACATTTTTAACTGAAATCTGTGCTTCTGGCTCAAACGGTGGCTTGGTTAAAGCCTCTAATACTAAGGTCAGATTCCAAACCAGAAAAGCATGTAACTTAACTGATGTCTCTCTCTCCCTGGCCCGCAGAAATATCTTAACTAGGGGCTCTGATGCGAGTCTTTGATCCAGAAAGACTGACAGGGCTGCCACCTGCACCTTTAGGGTAGCTAGTGCTATACCTTTCTCCACCCCTGCCTGGAAAAAGTCCAGAATCACCGAGACCATGGGAAGGCGAACTGCTTGTTCCTGACACTAGGTGGAAACCACCCTCCACACCTTGGCATATATTTTTCTGGTGACCTGTTTCCTACTGATAAGAGTAGAAAGAATTCCAGATTGGGGTGTAGAGTTGGTGCCAGTAGGAGATCGCTCCTGACTGGGAGACGCTGCGGGGGAACTATGGCCCACCTCTTCAAGGTGGTGAACTAGGCCCTTCTTGGCCACCACGGGGCCAGCAGGATCAGTCTGCATACTGATCACTCCAGCTTCTGGAGTACCCGCAGGCTCAGCGGAAGAGGGGGGAAAGCATATGCCAGCTCGATATCCCAATCCTGTGCTAATGCGTCCAGGCCTTCGGATCCCTGTTACCGAGCCAAGGAGAAATACCGTTTCACTTTCCTGTTTCTCCTGTAGGCAAAAAGGTCTATCTCTGGGCAGCCAAAGACCTGACTTATCTGAAAAAAGGCCTCGGGATTGAGTTCCCACTCTCCCATGCCTTGTTTTCCTCACGGCAAATACGCCCCTGCCTCCCCTGCTCAGCTCCTACCCTCCAGGGAGGACCTCCAGTCCACAGCCTTAGGTCCAAGAAAAAAAACAAACAAATGTTTTGCTGCCAGGGAAACACAATCAAGAACTGAGGAGTGGAGGGAAGTCCTGGAAGATGACTAGAGAAAGAAAGGTTTGCAGCCAAACCATAATATGCAAGTAAAGATAATCTTTATATACATGTAGAAAATAAACCATAGGATAAATATAGAAGTATAATTTGTTCCTTTTTAGAAGCAGACCCATGAAGAGGAAGTGACATCAAACCCTCCATCATTGCGAACAGACTTGACACCGAGCATAGTGAGTACAATTGGCTGAGTCGTTATTCACTTTTCTTTCCTTACAAATATAGTTCTGCCAGGACAGATTTCATTAATTGGTATGTAAAATTTTTATCACAGACTACAGTGTAAAAACTTTTAAAGATAGATCTTTCAGCCATTTTTAAATGTCCTGCCTAGTAGCAGACCGAGCAAGGTGACATCTATTACCTTTATTTGTACAAAATATGCCTTAGAACTTCCTTTTGAAGCTAGTTTCACAAAAAACTTGGCTTCCTCATCTAATAGCTAAGGGCGCTTTCACACCTGTGAAGGAATCCACATTCAGGTTGGAAGTCAAAATGCCAGCAGGGGTTCCTGCAAATAGCTGCAAGAGGCAGTCCTATTGAAAGCAATAGAAGGCTGCCACCTCTTGAGCTAATTGTGGCCGCTTGCATGTAATTTCTCATCCTGTGATCACATGTGAGTGATTGGCCCTGGAGGACATGAGCAATTAAATGCTAGCAGCCACGATTAGTTGTGGGAGCCTGCAGCCTCCCACAGCTAATTGGGGGAGCCCCTACTGGGGTTCTTGCATCTAATTGGGGTGCATTTGCAGATGTGAATGTACCCCAAGTCTGGCCTGCCCACCCTCTCCCTTATTGGCCACTGTCATTAGACTGTTGGGCTAGACTTAGTACCAAAGTAAAGAAAGTTAAGCTTTCAGTTAAAGCCCAGTTGAAGACTACTGTCTTTTTCCCATTGTAGTCCTATGCTGCTGCACATTATGATTTTCAGTTAATTACCATTTGGAAAACCCATAATGCCCCTTTAAAAAGGAGATTGGAAATGACTTTTGGTTTCACTAAAATCTCATACTTTTTAAACATGTTAATGTAATTTGAAAAGGCAAAACATATTTTTAAATTTGGGATAGAGTGAAGATAGCAATAAAAGCCTGCCAGGTGTTTTAATCTGTCTGTGCCCCTGTTAGGGAGATTTACTCCATTTACGTTTGCTCCGTTTACCATTGTCACTGAGTGAAAGAAAATACTAGGGTTGTACCAATACCTGTTTTTTTAACCAGTGAGTATGATTACTGTTACTTTTCATCAAGTACTCGCCAATACGGAGTACCGATACATTTGCAGTGCAATTTGAACCCATAGAAAATGAATGGGCTTAAATTGTACTGCAAAGAAAGGCATGCAATGCGATTCCTGTCCAAATCGCACCCAGGCTGAAGTCACTGACAAGCCTGGGATCACACAGGAACAGTGGGCGAAACCACAAGGTATCGGCCTAAACACAGAGTAGTACTAAAATCTTTGCATGTAGACACTAGCTCTCGTGACAACCAGCGATTTCCCTCATTTTAGAAGGATTACCACCCCCACTCTCCTGGCAAAGGGACAGGAAATGAAGATAAATCTCCTCAATGGATCTGTCTCCCTTGCATAGAGGCACAGGGGGAAAAAAAAAAGAAGTATGTAATGAAAATGTTTAGTGAAATATATTAGCATGTTAATTTTTTTTTTTTTTTTTTGGCGGGGGGGGGGGGGGGGGGGGTTGTTAGAGGCAGAGGAAAGAGTTAAAAAGGAAACATTTCTTTCTTCTTCAGAACAGTCTTGCT